AGAGAGAGAGAGATACAAAGGAGGGGTGGGTGTGGACGAGAAATGTTTGCATCATTTGCTAAGAATGTCACATATGCGAAGCTCCAAAACTGTTACTTATGTATGTATGTTGCAAGTTGCAACAGCGGCACCAGCTTACTCTGTAATACTTTGACTAAATTTTCTTTAAATATGTATATGCTCTTTCCTAGTTCTTGCTATTGCTTGTATCTCTTTTTGAGTCCTTTTTTGAAAATTTTAATCGCCACAAGTGATGCTTCTAGTAAATAAAGTGCACATAAGGAAATGTTTCGATACCCTCGAAGGCATTCAAGGGATTTCTATGTAGTTGTGGCAAGTAAGCTAACACATGCCAAAAATTTCTTTTAAATACTTTGTGCACTTTTATTGGAGTTTCGAGAAAATTCCAATACATTAATAGTAGCTGGCACATGCGATGTTCTCCCTACTATGCATTCACATATTTATGTTGTTCTGAATTTCAAGTAGAAGAGAAAACTTGAAATTTAAGGGAGTTAATTAGTAGTAAGGAAGTCGAGATGTAGATAAATAAAAATGAGTAATTGGGCAGTAAAACTTTTACGTGTTATGACTTTGAGGAAAAGGCAAAATTCAGTTCAAATTTCTATAAAGTTGCACTTTTTTATTTTTTTTTTCGATTCATGCATTTGTCAAGAATGACCAAGATTCGGAAAAATAATAAAGCGCAGAATGGTAAAAATCGTTTGTGTTTTGTTTAGCTCCAGTGTGTTGCCGAAATATTATACCTACGTGTGTCGCCTATGAGGCAAAGTTTACCTATAAAGGTATATATTTTGTATAGGTATTTTTTTAATAGAATTTTTTTGAGGCCTTAGTCGGAAAAAAATGAGGAGTATAAAGTTGAGTCCTTCGGAGGAAATTAGCTTATGGTTACAGAAGATATGGCTTAAATTAACCGCCAAAGTCTTGCGTACGGCTTGCGCGTTTCTCTCAAAGTGTTTCCGGCTGGTAAACCGAAATAAAAGTTAAAATTTAAAAACTAATTAATAAAATTGAAGTAAGATATGTAGAAAATTAACAATCAAATGCTTTCTTCGCAATATATCTATAAAACATTCTTTTATTTTTCAAAAAAACCTGGGCAACAGAAATCCCGCATTGAGTGTATTGAAAATCCACAGGTCCTTCAAGAAAAAACTATGCCTCTACAACGAGCACTATTTGATGTGGCTTTCGGGCTGGCGAAGTCTTCGAAAATGATGCCGGTAACTCTGTAACAGTGAACTGTAAATATTATCGTCACATGATAACAAACTTTGTATGGCCTGAATTAGATGACACGGAGTTGAACAATATGTGGTTTCAACTATGTGGCGCCATTTGCCACACCCAAGATTCCAGAGCTAAAGAAAGAATTCAGACTCATTGCAAATGGTATAAAACGCGAACTATAAGTGTGTTTGCATTGTTCAACTTTGCGTTCAACATTTGCGTTCAACTCAGCGCAGGGTTGCACGAAAAAAAAGTTGAATGGCTAAAAATATCAAAATATGAAAAAATATCAAAATATTCGCCATAAAAAGGTGTTTGCATCGTTCAACTTTGCATTCAACTTTTGGTTGAATGGCCTTTCAACTAATCGCTTTCAACAAAGTTGGTCGCCAGCCAACATTTAGGCATTCAACTTTTTTTTCGTGCAACCCTGCGTTGAGTTGAACGCAATTGTTGAACGCAAAGTTGAATAATGCAAACACTGCTTATGCGAAAAAGTCTTATAAAATTTCGATATGCGTATGCCGAGTTGCCAGAGGAGTCATGGATATTGTGTTTAATCGGAAAATTTTTTATATACTACACCTTTTCCAACAGTATTTCAGAAAAACACAAATGTATTTCAGAAAAGCTCAAATGTATTTCAGAAAAACGCAAATGTATTTCAGAAAAATATTTTTAGAATACAGCTATGCTTTTATGAAATACATTTGTGCTTTTCTGAAATACATTTGCCCTTTTCTGAAATACATTTGTGTTTTTCTGAAATACATTTGAGGTTTTCTGAAATACATTTGGCCTTTTCTGAAATACATTTGTGTTTTTCTGAAATACTGTTGGAAAAGGTGTATTCATATTGAATCATCTGGTAGTAGAAAAATTGCAAAAAAGCAATAACAGTTTATAAAAAAAAAAATAAAAGTTTCGATGGGGTGAACTTAGCTCTGTAGATAAATATACAACAGTTGTTATAGGCCGAGGTGTCACAGTTCAAATCCACGTAAGGTCGAAAATAAGTCTAATTGGAGGTGTGTATATCTTCGAAAAATCAGCTACAACTTTAACCATTCAAAGTTATTTTTGCCTTTTCAAACTGGGAATCTATGCACAATCTATTGCTAGCAACTGTGGGAATAAATAATAACAGGTTATCTATGTATCATTTTTTTTTTTAAATTTCAGCGTAACTTTAGGGTCTTAAAAATCCTCAAAACTTTGTATGATTTCATTTAGGAGCGTTGCGTGAATATGTACTTACTAATATTTTTGTAATTTTATTTTAAGGGCGTATGATTGGTTGTCGTTACTCCTCAGTATATTATTTATTTTTTTATTTTTATGCTAATATTTGTTATATGTAGTTCCACTTGTTTAGCCGCAATTTAGTATTATTTCGATGCCTATGCGGCATATAATGATCAAATTTCATTTACTCTATTATTGTAGTCAGTATTTATTGTTGTGTTCTTACCGTGATTTATCATATTATCGCATTATCGGGCCTCCATAGCGTACGACATGTGAAAACAAAATACAAATAAGTACCTATACTGACATTCACACTTATGTACATACATATGCATGTACATATGTACAACTACAAAGAATATGTACATACCTATTTGTGTATGCATCCCAATAAACATTTGGGTTGAAGATCAAGTGGAAATCCAATAAAAATTTCAAGGTCCGATGTTGATTTTTAGAGTGTTCATCAATTGGAGAACCAAACCATTCTCTAACCAAACGGCACATTTGTTGTATAGAAAATAATCTGGGTTCTCCACTTGAGAAAAGTTTGGATATCAATTTGAGTTCAAACTTTATTCAACTTTTGGTCGTACCTTGGGAGAATGAAGAATTTCTCAAAGATTTGAAAAAGTTTGAAAAATGTGTGCCTTTTTGCATGTTTGGATGAGCCACATACATACAAATAAAATTTTAGCAATAAAAGGGCTAATATGCAAACTACAACTATATGTAGACAAATTTATGTATAGGATTTTGTGTAAATATGATCTCATATGCCCATATGATATCATACATATTATAGTGTGAGTTTAGTAAATTGATTATTTTATACCCATAGCCACATACATATGTACACATGTTATATGTATATAAATATGTAAAATTTTGTTTATTTATTTATTTAAAAGCGTAAAGTTTAGTATGAACTATTTCCATCTACATATACATACATACATTTATGCACTAAAATACAGGCAATTGAATAAAATAATGTCCGCTCTGCATACATACATATGTTTTAAAGCTCATGCGTGCGATAGTAGTCGCCGTCAATGGATACTCAAACACGCACACACATATTTTTTTACACACAATACACACACACATATCTATATATGTATGTGTGCACTTAATGCTCAAATAATTCATACCAAAATGCTTTATTTAATAAACATATATGTACATGGGCACCAAAATGAAAATACTTACTTATGCACTTATTTATGGTTTTGTATACATTAATTCATACATCTAATAGATTTTTGAAAATTTCCACATTTTCATTTTACGAAATGCATTTGCTAAAATTCATTTGCAAAATTATTTATGCATAGTATTTACCGATGTTTTAAACTGGTTGCGATAGCGAGTGAGTCCTTTCATGTGAATGCATAAACTCATATGTATTAATGTTTTTATATATATGGACATATGTACATACCATAATTAAATAGCGTATTTGAAATGCTTAAATATTTATTTAGCTATCGGCGAACGAAATTATAATTTTAGTAGTTCCCATGAGTCTATGAATTTTGAAGTTGTGCGGAAAATTGCATATTTTAAGTATTATATACATATGTAATTTAAAATAAAAAAGAAAGGATTAAAATCGTAGAAAATGTTCCTTATTCACACATATATGTACATACATTAGAGAGGTCCAAAAAAAAAAAAATCTTTTCCTTCCAAAATTCTTCCTGTTGCCGAAAGAGGTGCTGGCACCAAACTCTACGTTCCTAGATATAAATTTAGAGGATGCCCATGAAATGTTTATAATTCACTCAAGCAACCTAAGGCTATTTCAAATTTAAATGAGCTGAGCATATATTACCAGCTGCAGTTGCCATGGCAACACTAGCTTCTTATAAAAATCTTTAATAATTTTGTTTCAAGGCATTCAGTAACACATTTCAAGTTCATTGAGCACCCTGTATTGGTTACTGAAGAAAATTGAAAGCTGGTATATGTAGTTATTACAAATACCAATACCAAATACCAAATACCAAATATAAAATGAAACGTTTGCACAAAAACTAAATTTAAAAAATGTCATTCCATTCACTTAAATTTATTTGAACAAATCGTGTTAAAGGTCTGAAATTTTAAGAAAAATCATAGAAGAATATATTTAATTCAAATAAATTCGAAACCCATTTCCCATGTATACAGTCGAGTTGTTTATTAAAAAAAAACTCCAATTTAGCTGTTTTTGCAAAGTACCGTATAAAGATTCAAGATAGATTGAAACATTTTGTCTTCTGATCTTATATGAATGTATATGTATAATATTTATTTGCTTTGGTACTTATAAATATGAAACGCACCTGCATCCAACATGCAAATATCAACAGCATGCGAGTTCAAAGCGGCCACAGCCGGAAGGCAATTGCACCATTTCAATTGAGTGTATTATATTCGCTAGTGGGTGATATTAGACTCAATTGAATTTAACTAAATAAATGATGGCAGGCGTAATAAATTTAAATTGGCGAGCTCAAATGTGAACGCTGAAAGCTTCGTAGCCGAAATTAAGCAACAGTATGTTAGCGGTATTAAATGCGAATAGCGGTTGAATAGCGATAGCGGTAAAAGATTCTAACGCGAGTGAAGAAAGTTTTCATAAAAAATAGTAGTTTTAAAGTGAAAAGTTTTTGAAGAAAAGTTTTGAAAAAAATGTCTTCAATGAACTGTGCCAAATGAAAGTTGGACCATGATGAATACAAAATTTGCATTGCAGAAAACTGGAAGGGTCCAAAAACTAGTTCTCAAATAAATACCCTCCAACTATCCATGGAATAATCTTGCATGCTGATAATTTTTTGGTTTAAGTGCAGTGATCATAATTAAAAATTCATAACAGCTTTCCTAATTTTTAGAAACGTCGTTCAAAATGTGATGCGAGGGAAAAGAAGTAGCCCAATAAATACAAACTTAATTTTTAACAACAAAAAAAATCAACGAAATCACGCTCCAATACACATTCCGCAACGCAAAAAATGTTTGCGCTCCAGCAAGTCACAACCATGACCGCAGCTTGCTTGCTCTGCTCCATTCTCTTCGCCGTTTGGCCAAAAGTGATACTTTGTCGACCCTCGCAAGATTATTCCACCGACGGCACCGAGCTGGTCGTCGTTAAGGAAATTGTGCGCTGCACTCGCCAGGGACTCCACGAACTGTGCCAGAACGCCACAACAACGAATGAAGATGAAGAGCAGCGCACCGCGCTTAATGCGGATAATGAGTCAGTGATGGATGTTGTGGATGATTTGATTTTGTTAGAGAAAAAACCAAAGTCAACGCAACGGCTACAACAACAACAACAACAACTGCACCAACATCAGCGCAAAGAAACACATCCCTACGGTACTTATCAACAACAAAGTGAATTGCTGACATCTGCCGCCGCGCGGGAGGACACATTAGTTTCTGCCGCCGCTGCGGCGCCAGCCATTGGCGATCCCTCCGATTCCACAGCATTTGGTAGCTCATATCATCAGGAAACCTTTGACTCGGACAGCGATAGTAGTGATGCGGCAGGAGATGAGCGCGACGACGTAGCAGCTAACACCAAAACTACCGACGTAGATGCTGTCAATGCCGCGGCTGCCGATGAAATTATAGCCGATGGCGTCCTGTTTCACGGCGTGTTGCTGCGATTGGCCGACGGGCCGCACAGCTTGCCTCAACCGGTGCCGCCCGTTGACGTGAGCGATTTCGTGTCATTAATGCCGGCCGAAGAGGTTAAATCGATTGCCGCCAATTACTATCACAATGATGCGGAAGTGCGTCGGGCCTACGCCTATTTGAGTGGACCGGATTTTGTAGCGCTGCGTCAGCGCATTGTGGCATCGCCGGAAGTGGGCGCATTTTTGCAATATTTAAATGTGAGCGGGTTTGATGTGTTGAAATTT